TTTGATTGCCTATAAATGTCTCTATTTTGCAGCGATTTGTAACAAAAGTTTGTTTTAACGGCGAAATACCTGTAGTTTTAATTTGCATTCAACTCAACAATACGTGAAGTTCTGTGCGTTTTGTTTGCTATTCAATGCAATCCGTATTGATTGAGATTAGGTCCACACCCGACATCATAACCTTAGCCTTCAATCACATACTAAGCTATTTTTGATGGGTATCTCCAGTGCCCCGACTAACCTACAGGTGCCCTAACGAGAGAGACAATAATGCAGAGTTGAATATGTATTATGCATTTTATTATCTAATCTAATGGAGCAAAATGTTAGTGAGAATTGTGTGCACATACATAATGGGATGGTAGGGCTGTTAGGGCTGGGAAGTGGGCACAGGTATGGTATATGTGGTCGACTTCCACAGCACTAGTTATACAAATGAATTGCTCGGAGAATGAGAAAATAAAACAGTCGGCGCTTATTAATCATCTCATTAAATGGTAAATCTCTGAGAGCACTGGCAATGTGTGTCATATGTTTATAGCGGGAGTGGACCCGTTGTGTGTGAGCGCCGGTGCACTCGTATTGCGTTTATTAGGTATCACTTGAATAAGAAATGCCTTTTTTATCTGAATTTAATTGCCATACAAAACCACTCGGCGAGTGGACGGGTAGTTTGTTCGACAGGTATTTGTTGAATGATATGCGAGAAAAAAAGTAATTTATTCGCGATTTTCTGTACAAAACAAAAAGTTTTGCAAATTTTTTGGAGCAAACGGTTTGGCGTTTGAGATGTTGTACAGTGTTTGCAGTGTTTATGTAAATGAATGTATGAATGAATGCATGAATCGGTTGACCGATTGTATGGCATTTCGACGCAAACCTATGATTTAGAAACGACTTTTGAATGGATGCACAAAATGATCGTCAAAGGAGTCTTAAGCACCGGTAGACGAGATACAGTACGGAGAGAGAGAGAGAGAGAGAGAGAGAAGTGATGCATATGTCGAGCAAAACTGGTTTAACTCCCCTTATCTTAGGGTTAATCCAGTGCTCGATTGGAAGGGCAGGTCTACGTGTATGTCAAGGACAGGCCAACCGCCACAACACAATACCGTTGATTACGAACACAATGCACCTCTCCTTCTGCCACTCCATTCGGCTTCGAGTCCGACATACCGGTGCCCATAGGCTTACATATGTATTGGCAATGGGAGAGACAGTTGTGTTTGCGATGCCTTTAATTGATTTGCGAATTAATCGGATGAGAGATAGAGAGGAAATATTTGTGGCAAAAGTCATACGAGAGTCACATCCGAGACGTTCACCAAAACACTTACCACTCATTCCGTCATTCATTTGCTGTCATATGAATGGATGAATGGTGTGATCGACTGATTGGAGTCCACGACTACACCACTCAATGATTTGAACAAATTGTTTAACAAAAACATACAAATCATATGCCAGTGCCTGTCCTTCCGTATAGTGTATTCTCGTATGCATTTAGTGTAGACTTTTTGGTGTCGTTTTTCACCACACGATTCATACATTCGTAGCATTCATACAAACAATCCGTTTATCCAAACATTTATTAACAATAGAGTAGAGAAAAAATTCCTATAATTCTTATACAAAGGAATGAATGAAACGAAAAATAACTGAATTTAACGTCAATTTTGTTCATAAAAAAGGAGTTATTTTTGTTACGAAATATAAAAACGAAAACTCTTTTTACGGAAACAAGAAATTTATTGTTAAAAAACTGTTGCATTCATGGGATTAGAAGTACTACAAGAAGTGGTATTCAATTGGTATCCATGGGTTCGGCGGATCTGACGACAACGGACTCCACTTCCAACGGAACCACTTTTGTGGTCAACACAGCAGTCGTTCCTCTTCTGAATTGATATCTCCCTTGACTTCAGACACAAACAAATGAGACATTCATTGGTGGCATCGCTGGTGTCATACAAACCGAAGTCCCTTTTTGTTGGCCTCATCATAGGTGCGCAGATAATTGGCACCACTTTTGGTGATCACACATAAGTCGACATTACTTCCGGAGCCCAAGTCGTTGAATATTCCGGCGGCGATGGCGTCCCGAACCAACTGCTGGCCCTCTGCTAACTGTGCGACCATTGGACACACCGTTAGTATTAGTGGTAAATAGGGATAGGAATGCAATGATAGAGTGAAACATACGGTGAGGTCTGGTCTCCAACGCGCCTCAAACACAGCCATTGCGGCCAAAGATCCCGAACCCATAGTCACGTACGGCAGCGAATCGGTCGACCCGTGCGGGTGAATGGAGTAGAGTTTGGGGCCACTGTTGTCCACCCCTCCCAACACCAGCGCAGCGCCAACATGTCCCTGATATCTGTCATAACACACAAGTATTCAACCGATTATTTGCAGGAAAACCAGTTTTGCATTCAATTCAATGCAATCAATGAATGTATTATTGAGTGAATGAGTGAATGGATAATAACGAGGCATTCGGTCAGTAATTGTTAGTCTGTGAGAGCGCTCACAGCCTAACAGTAAACCCGATCCCAACCCCCAAACCTGACTGACCCTCACATCCATATCTGACACTCGGAGCCAATGAATGGCTCTTTTGATGAACAAAATTATTGTTTTTATTCAAATCAATGCAAACATAAGGGCTTTCATTGTGTTGTAAAGCATTTCCTTAATCTTCAAATCAAAATCAAATCTCAAATACAATACAATTTCGTATGAATTCATACGATATGAACACAACATATGCATTAAATTCAAAGTTTAGAGTCATTTAAATGAAGCGATGATTATATCAATGATTATAATCACTAATCAATGGTAAGAGTGACCTAACATTCAGAAATACATGTATTATACGAATGCATAACAAATAAAACTACAAATTATGCACAAAATTCTGGTCTAAAGCCTATGAATACACGGAATAAACGGGGAGTGAATGCAAACCAAACCAAACATTCAATCCTATACTCTATGACTGCATATTATTTATGGCATTATATTCAGAGACAATGTTTTATATGTAAAACACATTCAAATTATATACAATTCAAATGATATACAATTGCCAGTAATGATAGCCATCAGTGAAGTACCGGTCCGTTCATAGGATACCAGTCCACTGGGACTGCACTCTAAACTCACTACTCATTGCCTTTTCCTTATTAATAGACAATTAATTAAAGACTAAAAACAGAGAATAACTTATATTTCATATGAATTCCGGTTAACAAAAGCCCAATGAATAAGAAAAACACAATTTAAACACAAATAAGAGACTATTTTCACTAACATAACAAAAATATAAGACTTTTTTGTATAATAAATGGACAGACATTACGAGGCTTTCCCTTCACTACAACTCTAATCGTTATAATCATTAGATTTATCGCAGATTTCAAGAGAAGTAAAGAAATATAAGATTGAAATCTCTATTAATATAACAAAAAGCATTCATTCATTAATTTAGTCATTAATGAGACAAATGTTTGTAAATAAAGTAAAATGCATTCAAATTATGAGTGAATACTAATTAGTCTAATCAGACATACGCTGAGCGCCGGTATGTTTGAAACTACGGCTAAACACACAAAAATGTTTGCATTATTAATGACCACACGTTTAGTCACAAAAAACAATATAATCGTTGAGTTAATCGACTATTAATGCAAACAAATGGCAATCAAATGAGTGGTAAGTCTTCAGACCTGAAGAGGTATTGTTTGAGGAGTCGATTGGCGGCCACAACGGGAACAGTGTTTCCGGTGTTGAGTCGATGCAACTCCAGCTGCGATGATATCATTCGCGTAACCATTTC